TCTTGAAGCACAAACCGCGAATAGTGACAAAGGATTTTTCTTAATGATAGAAGGAAGTCGAATTGGTAAATACACATAAGGAGGATTGCCTTTTCAATCACTCTTTTATAATTCTCTGATGCTTTAAAATACTCATGTACCTATTTTCTTTTATTCAGATATGGCCGCCCATTCGTGAGCAACATTCATCTTTATATTTCGAAAAAGTAAGGATTGACTGACGTTTCTTAATTACAGGAACGATCCTGGCACACATGTTCATGAAGTTTTGGCCTATTATGAGGCAGTTAAAGTTGTTCGTAAATACGTTGATGATCACCCTGGCACCGTTATGATTTCAGTACGGAGTATTTTTTAAAAGTTGTGCTTACTTTTATATGTGACATGAATTTAAACCTGCGATTCCTAATTAATTAGGTTAGCGATCATGAGACTGGTGGTTTGTCTCTCGCTCGTCAGATCAATTCCACTTATCCACAATATTTGTGGTAAGACTCGTTTCTGTTCCTGAGGCGGCGTATAGTCAAATTATTTATAGCATCCATTGCTCATCATCCTAGGTACCCTGATGTAATTACTCGTATAAAGAATTCTTCATACGCACTTGCAGTTCAGCTTGCCGATTATTGGAAGGCTGATCGCTTGAATTTCATAAATGAAACTATACTCCGTGGAAGCTTGGGGATTGATGATTTTACCAATGAAGAAGTAACCTTTCTGAATGAAAACCAAACGCTGCAATCTTATGAATATTATTTGGCCAACTTAACTAGCTGGAGAGCACAGATAGGGGTAACTTGTTGTCACCTTGTCCGAATATTGGTATCTTTCATCATCTTAAAGTGTCATCTTTCTTAATGGTAGTGGGCCACTCATGGTCATTCGGCCGTCGACGTGAACCTCTATGCCCGGGGGAAGGACACCGAAAAGTTACGTGGAAATCATGAGGTATAGCTTAATCCTAAATTTTTATCTTTTCCTATTTTTTCAATGCACTCAATATTAAATTTAATTACAGAACACTTATATCGGTGAATTCATAAAGGACTATCTTGGTTTGGATCTGGACAGCATCACCTTAAAACTAAATAGGTTGGCAACAAGTTATTGTTATTATCATTATCGTTTACTACTTATGTATCATCTCATAACTTTCTAATTACTTTTCTGCTCTCTCAATTAGTGATAATGGTAAGTCATATTTGATACTCATTTTAAAATAAATTTTTTCAAATTTTAAAACCACAAATATGCTTATTACTTCTTATCTTTCCATATCCAGCTTCTTTCCACCTTTCTAGTCCAAACATCACCAGTTTCAATGCCGATCATCTGGCTCATTACCATCATCTTCATTGAACTTTGACTTAAGACGAGAGTTAACTAACAAAATCATAGTATTATAAGTTGGTTAGTATCAACAATGGGATTGTAAACTTTATAATAACTCTAGGTTTAATTCAACTTTAAGTTCCGACGGACGGACGGACGGACGTTTTTCTCATTAATCATCCCACAGTATCTTATATAACCCCATTAAAATGCTATTTGAGATCAGTTAATGGTTTTGATGTTTACCATATATAGGAAATTACATAAATCATGCGATTAGTATACAGAAATTAAATCTTATTAAATTTTGGATATACTATAAAATCTATTAAATAATTATAATCACATACGTATATGTTCTTATGAAGTTTGCATAATTTATTAATATTATTATATTGATTAATAAAAATATTTAAGAATTATAAAACTAAATTTTCGAATAACATCAGACAATTTAAAAAATCATATTTTTTTTATAATAAACTTGATTTCTGTTTTTCTTGGCAATGGTTTGCCATAAAATAACTATTTTTCTATTATTATTTAATTAAATGAGTTTTTAGGTTTATTCAAATTAAGTTTTTATTTATCATTAAAAGATAAATATTTATCCAAGTACCAGTTTTTAATTATCATTTCGAAAAAATTAAGTGTTCTTTTAAATTTATAGCAAGGATGAATTTATATTTATTTAATTTCTTAATTTCTTAATTCACTAGTTCAAACCATATTTTTCATATAATAATTGATTCATATAAATTTGATTATAATTAAAATTAAAAATACAATCTATCTATCTTAAATTAAAATTCAATTATTAGTAATAATATCAAATGATCAATAAAATCTAATATTTGTTAAATTAACAAGTTCAAATTATAGAAATAAAGTCAAATTGTATTGTATCATATTATTTAATAAGTTAATTGAATAAGTAAACAAAAATTAAATTTGATTTAATCATAAATTAGTATATTTATCATGATTTATAAATATAATTAAGTTAATTAAACTTTTTTTAATATTTTGTAAAAGTATAATATAATTATAGTTTATTTTTTTCAAAAGATCAATGTAATTATTATTATCAAATTTAATATTGTTTACTTATTGGCAACTAGATTAAATATACTTAAAAAAAAAACTATTATATAATTATTATTATCTAAATTTTTCAAAAATTTATATTTTATAATTAATCAATATTATAAATAACAATTAATACTGTATTAATATAATACTTTTAAAAATATTATATTATAATTAAAGTATATATAATAAGATAAGATATAATAATTGAAAATTTTAGTTATTTCTTTTTTAATATAAATTAATAAAAATAATAAAAGTTTTTTGTTTATTTTTTTTTTATATTTAATACAAATATAATTAATATTTAAATTCTATTTTTTTTTGTTTTTATTTATAAATAAAGTTTTACTTAAATACTTATATAATATTTGATTCAAGTTATAATATATTTTTTAAAATAAATTTATGAATCTATAGTATAATAATTAACACTATAGATCAAATTACAAAATATCAATTCAATTTCAAATAAAATTAATTAAATAGAACTTATATAATATCTGATATCATAACTTGTTAAATATTATTTTTTATATGAAATTATTTCATAAGTTAATTTAATAAGTATTAAAATTATGTTTTTCAAAAAAAATATCATAATGCAATAATTGTCCAATTGATACTATGATAATTTCTAGAAATATGTTATAGTGATTAGATAACATAATAAATCAAGAAAAATATATTTAACTTTTCTAATTAAAATTTTTTTTGTATTTGAATATATAGATTGTATTATATTCTATTCTAATCAAATTAATTGATATTTCCCTTTCAATAGTGATTAGAACCCTAGTATAGACTATTTTAATCTAATATAAAACCTAATTGATTTGAAAAATAATTAATCACAAGTAATAAAAAGAATTATAGTTTTGTATAATATCTTAAAATAACAAGAATATATTTTGAAATCTAAATAATAAAGTGAAAAGGTATTTGGACTGATCTTCTTAATTAAGATTTTTCTAGATAAAACTGAATTATATAAGTTAAATAGTTTAAAAACTAATAATAAAATTTTTATATTCTATAGATTTTTTCTTGATTGTTATAAAGGAAATTATTCAAAACAATAAGTTTCTAAATATCAAATATAAAGTAAAATATAAATAAATAATTTATATAATGTAAACCTGTGGGTCTATAGTGTAGTGGTTAACACTCCACAGGTCAGATCACAAGATACCAGTTCAACTCCAGGTAAA